ATTTGGGGTCAGGGGAGAGTACGAGAGTACATTATTTACATTGGTTTTATTGTTTGTGTTACCTGACTACAGTGTAATTCTGATGAGAGAATAATTCTCTTTTTCACTTTTTCAAGTTTACCACTGAATCACTAGTAACAACAAATTTCTCCAATGCCTAGTATTTTTTCAATATACACTTGCTGAATAAATTAAAACAAAATTCAGTAGACAGAAGAACCTATCAAAATGATAGAACTAGAGATAGAGTTCAAAAGACACTTACTAAAGGAGTTACAATAAATACACGATAAAAAAACAAAAGGAAGATTATGTGGGAAAGTTTGGTTTAAGGAAGAAAACAGAAGGACCTGGTGCCAGGAGCAGGCAATTAGCGCATTTGTTTGAAGAAGCTATTTGGTAGGTTGCTAAGCTCGATTCAGGAGTCTGGGAATTAACAACGGGATTCTAGTTCCTTGATAAATACCTAGTAATGATCCCACATTGGCAAAGTGCAGATAATAGGACAGGGATGCAGACAGGAAGCAAGACAGGTTTCTAATTACAAGGACCACAATAAAAGGTGGGTGCTGAATCTTAAAATTAAAGCAAAAGCCTAATTATCTTTACATAGTAGCAGATTCACATAATGATGACCATGCTGAAATCTAGAATGATAGTTTAAATAAGCTCTAGCTACCTTGCTAAGTTAGGATGGATGCAGAAATGAGCTGTGACTGGTGACATGGTAAGAAGAACATACAGATAAGGGCCTGGCCTGCTTTTCTTACCCGATTGTTCCTTTTGTTCTTAAAGGGTAATCCACTTTCCTAATGCTGATTGCAACATTTAATTTGAATTGAGAGTACTTCTTTAATATCATGGAGAGATACTCATGGTGCCTTCCCATGAGAGACTTATTATCAATTGATAAAGGAAAAAAACCCAACTTCCAAAAGTTGCTCTAAATGCTGTTACGTGTTGTCAAGTTGGTTCTGGATCACAGTGACCACATGTATAAGTGTTGTCAAGTTGGTTCTGGATCACAGTGACCACATGTATAACAATGGAATATTCCCGGCCTCTGTGGCATTCTCACCATGGTAAGTGTATGGGAGACTTTTGCTGCAGCCAATGGGTGAGGGTCTACTTCTTTTCCACTGACCCCTAGCAGTGTTTCTTGCTCCAGCAGTTTGTCCTCCATGATCTATCGGACAATGTAAGTAATAGAAAATATCACCATCCTTGTGTCTACAGAACATGTTGGATGTACTTTCTTCAGGACTGATTTGTTCTCTTTTCTGGGTGCCCAATGGAAAGTTGGCCACCAACAATGTAATTCAAAGGTGTCAATACATCTTAGGTCTATTGTTTTCATTTTGAATGCATAAGGTATTTGAAAATATAAGGGGTCAGATGTCCCTTAGTGATATCTTGGCTTTTGAAGATTTTTAAAGAGGCTTTTTGCAGAAAATTTAATCAATGCAATATGCCATTTGATTTCTTGACTCCTACTTTTATGAGTAGGATCCAGGACAAATGCGACCTTGACTACTTGAATTTTCCTCTCTTTGTCATGATATTCCAACATTTGTCTGTCAGTTTGTCATACTGTGGTGGCTGTGTGTTGCTGGAAGCTACGCCACTGGTATTTTAAGTGCCAACAGCGACACCCAAAGTCATCAAGTTGTAGTAGAGCTTCCAGACTGAATCCAGCCAATGAAGAAGGACATGGGATACACAGAAACCCAATTGACTACCTCTGTGAGAAGACAGGATGGAAAAACTCAATATCCACAGAAAAAACAGACTAGGGGCTGACTGTGGAACAGGCCATCAATTGATCAACTATAAGTTCAGATTAGAGCTGAAGAAAATTAAAACAAATCCACAAGAGTCAAAATACGACCTTGAATCTGTCACGCCTGAATTTCAAGAGCATCTCAAGAATAAATTTGACTACTGTGTATACTCGAGGATAAGCCGAATTTTTCAGCACATTTTTAATGCAATTTTGGTGGTAAACGTAGGTGCCTTGGCTGATATTCAGGTTGGCTTATACTTGAGTGTATATGGTAATTGAACATTAATGAAAGAAGACCTGATGAACTGTGGGAAGACATCAAGAAGACTAAGGTACACCAGACCCAAGCCAAGCTATCTTCAATCGGATCATGTGCCTGTGAAACCGTACCATGGATAACAGAGATCTAAAAATCGATATCTTTGAATTAAGGCTTGGTGAAGAATATTAAATATATCATGGGATTCTAGATGAATGAATGAATATGTGTTGGCTTCAGTACATTCAGAATGCTCCTTTGAAGTGAAGATGGCCACAATTTGTCTCCTGTCATGCAGACATGTAATCTACAGTTCCTCCTGTAGGAAAGCATCATGCTAGGTAAAGGGGAAGGTAAGCAATAAGAGTAAGCGCATCAAGAAGATGGATTGACACATGGTTATAGCCATAGGATCAAATATTGTAATGGTTGTAAAGATGGAGCATGGGATACTATTTTATTCTACTGTAAATAGAGTAATTGGGGCCTTACAACAATAACAACAAGAGCATCTAAGGTGGCTTTAAACAGCTCATGAAAACTTTCCATGATTTTTTTAACACAATGCAAATAATTTATTTTTCATATTAATTTTTAAATGGAGAACACAAACAAACAAAGAAACAGATTCCATGTCCTGTTTCAAAGCAGGTACGAGAGGTCAGAGAATATGAGATTTTGAGCCCATGGAGTTTCAAATCTCAAAGAAGGCAACAACTTTAGAAATATGGATGAGGGGATGTGGTAGGGCAGAGGACACCACTGCAGGTCTAAAGAGACAAGTTTGGGAGTGGGGGTTGGGGGGCAGGGGTGCCTAAGCCACACCACCACTGAAGTTCCTCACAGTGATTCGTTAGCCAGGGCTTTCCTATGAGGCATTTGAATTTGACTATTGAGTTCATCTTTAAATCAACTTTGTTACTCTTTAAGCCAGTTTCATGATCCTGGTTAATTTTCTTTTCTTTTAAAGATCATAGACATTTCTGAAGAATAGTTATGCAGCATAATACCAAAAGCAGATATTTTACCAGAGTTTTAGAATTAATTGGTATGATATCAACATATCCACTCAATCTTTCCTAGAGATTTTTTTTCCTTTTGATAAATAAAACATACATATTCCTAATCTTGTGTCCCTCTAAAATACTTGGTGGAGTGCTGATCCCCATATCTGTGGATAGAATCCCTTTGATGAATAGTTTTGTTGCTATGTTAATGAAATCAAAACAGTTCAAGGCACATCCTAAATCCTCTCACTCAGTTATAATAAGAGTAGCTAGAAATGTTCTAAAACAGATTGTGGTGATGATTGTACAACACTTCTTGATGTGGCTGGACTATTGAATTATATGACATGTGACTATACATATGCCAATACACTTTCCGGAACCCTGGTGGTATAGTTTTTAAGCTTTGGGCTATGATCCATAAGGTCAGTAGTTTGAAACCACAAGCAGCTCAAGAGAAAGACTGGGTTTTCTATTCCTGTAAACAGTTTTACAGTCTTGGAAATCCACAGGGGGTCACTATGAGTCAGCAGTGATTAGGTAGCAGTGAGTTTGGTTCTTGGAATACACTGTTTAAAAAACAGACATTAAAGGTATCCACATATGCACAGAAAAAGAAAGAAAGAGACAGACAGACAGACAGACGGAAAGAAAGAGTAGTATAGACACAGATGTTAGCACACATGAAGGGAGAGTAGATAGATTTCATGTGGAGATAGCCAGGAAATGTCCAGAAGAAAGTTGCAGCTGCTAAGATCAGAATTTCCCCGCAGAGTGGACAGAGAAAGCCTTTCTTTAGGATATTCTAGCCCTAAATAGAAATTCTAGCTTCCTAAAACCTATAAAAATCAATTTCTGTTTGTTAGATCCACCTTTTTTTGGTATGATTTGGTATGCTATATTTGTAAACTTTTAGAATGATGAGTAACTATGAAACACTATTTTTTCATAGTCACAATATTAAATATATACTTTGACCATTCCTATTTCATAGATAAACATACTGAGTTTCAGAGAGGTTCAACCTGTCAAATTTCATCAATGCGTAAGTTAGAAATTAGTTATTTGAACCACGATTTGATCATGTGTGCACTTTACTAGCAGTTTTTCATTAATCTAATGCAAAGAAGAAATCACACAATAAAATATCTACATAGAGAGAGAGACTGTATTAATGATTTCCTGTGGGCATGGCAGGGACGTTTTGCAGGAAACGGAGAGCTCAGAACAATGAATACAAGGAAAAGGAATGTCTTAACATTGATTGTGGTGATGATTGCATAGCTCTGAAGAATATGATTGAATGCCTGGTATGTGAATTACATATCAATAAAAGTAATAATAATGTGATTTTCCTATTTAGATGTTTTCTATTGCTATAAAAGCATACCTTACTAAGGGGTGGCAAATAAAGACAGCAGAAAAGGAAGAGTAGTTTATTTTTCACCTGCTGTTGCATTCATTCACCACTATAATTTTGCTTGAAGTAGAGTGGCAGATGCATAGTTGGATATATCACTCCCCTTCGAACCAAAAGTAAAGACAATCAAACCTTTTGAAATACCAATAATATGCATCCAACTACTTATAATAAAAAGTAGTTGTGTGACCTCTAGCAATAGAGAAGCATTAAATGAAAAGCCATCTCTGCACATAAGTATGAAATACTTGGATGTTATGTTAAACTGAGAAGTGACCCAGTAAAAAGCAATTATCTATGGCTTCCTTTAAGGAAAAAAATACAACCTTTAAAAATGCATCTTGGAAAAATAGACATTTATACTTTCAGGTTTTCATTTGTGCTTTAGTAATGAGGTCTAGAATTGTACTATTTTTTGTTTATTTTCCAAAAATTCCTTACACACAAATATATAGACAATATTGAAGAAGTCACAGTTTAGCTATAGACTTTCCACAGTACACGTTCCTGAGGATAACGGTTTTCCCTTACCTTATTTGTATTCACGGCTGTGATGACCCAGACACACTGAGCATTGCTGTCGTACTGGAACGGGAAGTTGGGAGACGTGAAGGTACCACTCGGTCCTTGAAGATTGGAGCCACATGTCTTCACTGAAAGGGAAATTGCATTTCAAAATTTGGGCATAATACCACAGGGAAAACTATGCCAATAAAATAACTTTCAAATAGACTTTCACTTTAAAATTGTACAATTATAATCATACTGAAATACTACAGAGCTGATGACATTTTAATGCCAATTATAAAAAGTAGACTTTTTTTACACCCTAAAAATTACATGCTTAATATTTGCATCAGTAATTGAACACTAGTTGTTAATAAATGTGAGCCATGATAAACTGTCCTCTGACTGTAAATGGGTTAGTTTAATTAGAGTAAGGTATATTCATCCAATATTCTGTTAATAAAATATTTGCAAACAGAAAGAAGCAATGGCTTGGATTAATTAATCAATCTAAATAATGTTTTCATTTTTATTTATTATGTACCCTAGGATTAATAATTGCAGAATTGAAAGATTAATATCAAACTACTTTTCATTTTTATAACTGTGAATTTGACCACTTGAGCTGCATGGAAATTATTTTAATAAATTCCCCCCAATAAGTAAAAATTATAATACCCCTTAAATTTTCTTTATTCTATTTAACTAAGTGGCTAATGTCCTTCATTCTTCATCCTTTTCTCTACTTCCTTCTTGACTATCACATACATTCTTTGTCTCATTTTTTATTTGTATTTTTTGTCTTGTGTCATTAAAATCCTCACTGTGCTTTTATAAATACCATTGATAAGAATTAGTTTTATACCACTGTTCTATTAAATAAACCCTTTCATATACATTTAGGATTTCATGTAATTATCACCATTTTGAAGATCAGTATCTGGGTGTCCTAAAGTTTACTTGACTTGCCTGAATTCACACCTGTTAGGAGAACAGTCAGTTTTGCTCTCCCATTGCTACAGTTGATTCCATTTTGTCCTCTTATCACCAAATTGCTAAAGTTTCTAGTAAGTTTAATAGAAAATGTTGGTCCCCACCAGTGTCATCCTTTAACTTCTCTATTAACATAATTCTATTCCAGAAAATCTATACACTGAGCAAATAATCAGAGAAGCTGAATTATATGACGCAGAATGCGGCATCAGGATTGGAGGCAGGCTTGTGCACAATCTGCGATCTGCAGAGGGTACAACCTTGCTTCCTGAAAGTGAGGAGGGTTTGAAGCACTGGCCGCTCAAGGTCCAGGACTGCAAATTCAGTACAGATTACACCTCAGTGTCAAGAAGCCAAGGTCCTCACAACTGGACCAGTAGGTAACCTCATGATAAATGGAGAAAATATTGAAGTTATAAATGATTTTTATTTGCGTGGATCCACAGTGAATGCTTATGGAAACATCTGTCAGGAAACCCAAGGACACATTGCTGCACAAAGCCTCTTTGAAATGTACAAAAGCAGGGATGTTGTCTTGAGGACTAAGGTGCCCTGACGCAAGATACGATATTTTCAATCGACTCTTATGCATATGAAAGTTGGGTGTTGAATAAAGAAGACTGAAGCCGAATGGATACATTTGAATTAGAGTGCTGGGGAGAATATTGAAAATGCCATGGAATAGCAGAAGTACAAACAGATCTGTCTTGAAATAAGGAAAATTAGAATGCTTCTTAAAAGCAAGGATGGTGCGACTATGCCACAGACTTTTGACATATTGTCCTGAGAGGCCAGTCCCTGGAGAAGGATGTCATGCTTGGGAATGCAGAGGAACAGCAGGAAAGAAGGACCTCAACAAGATGGATGGACACGGTGGCTGCCTCAATGGGCTCAAGCATGGGGACAACTGTGAGAGTGGCCACTGACTGACAGTGTTAATTCTGTTGTACACAGGGTCACGGTGAGTTGGAACACAGAGTTGCATCCTCCTTGTCGTTAGGTGCGTTTGCCTCGTAGAAACACTACGAAGAACATAAGAAAACACTACCCAGTCCTGTGCCATCCTCTGAATTTTCCAGGCTTGAGCCCATCTAAGAAGCCTCTGTATCAATCGATCTTGTCCAGAGCATCTCTCATATTCAATGCCACTCTACTAAGCACGGTGTCTTCTACAGGAGCTGATAATCTCTGATAACATGCCTAGTACCTGAGACAGGGGTTTGTATCCTTACTACCAATGATCATTCTGGCAGTACTTTCTCCATGACGCATTTGTTGGTTCTTTTGACAGTCCATGCTACTTTCAATATTTTTGACCAGCATCCTAATTCAGATGCACCGATTCTTCTTCATCAGTGCCTGTCTGTCAGTCTGCCATATTGTGGTGGCTTCTCTGTTGTTGCGATACTGCCAACAATGCCACTGGTATTTCACATTCTCGGAGGGTCACCACAGTGAACAGGTTTCGGGATTGCTTCCAGACTAAGCACTGACTACGAAAAAGGAACAGGATGTCCACTTCAGAGGAACTAGCTACTGACAACTGTTTGGATCGCATCCATCCTCCTTAGCACTGCTAAAATCAATATATGACTGTTTCCCTTTAAACTATCAGATCTAAACAGATGTATACAGATAAGAAATATTTTGATATCCTATAAATTACAAACTGCCTAATATGTAATATAACATTATCTCCATCCCCTTCCAAAACACTCAGGTTTTTTTAACATCATTTAATAATAATATTTGGATAACAATTCAGAATATACATTTTACCCTTTCTTGAATGTACCATATACTTTATAATTTCCTATTTTCCATGTTGTTATTCATATATACAATGCTATTTTTTCCTGCCCTTCTCTGCAGATATCACTTCACTTTAACAAACCAAAGCCTGTCCTGTGTGCCATGCTTGTTTGCCTGTCTTTTGTTTTACCAGAAGTGTATCTAACCCTACCTTCTTGCTGCGGTGCAGCAGGAAAAGCCTTGCACTCACAGCACCTTATTTGAAGAGCAGATCTAGGAAGATGTTTAGATGAAGTCAGCGACCTGAGCAGGACTCGAATTTTAATAATCTTTAAAGCTGTTTAACACTAAGGAGTTTTCAACCATAAAATAGACTGGATGAAGGAAAACACCACTGTCTGCATCTTTAGACTGGTACCATTATTTTGTAAGATTCGTTGGTTGAAATAGGCTGACTAAGGTCCATATATTCTAATAGCAATATAAGAAATAGAAAAGTTACCGGCACCTTCACCCAAATAAGTGTCAACTTTTATTACCTTTTTTCATTCTGTTAGATACAATCACAGTAATTTAATTATTTTTAGAAGAGAAATTATAGATATATATGTTGATTTTTTTCCAAAATAAGTTTTGGGGAGAGAGCTCACTTAATATATATATAGCCAATATGTAAATTATTAAATTGGCCAAAACTAAATAGATACTAGGAACTTACATTTCTTTTAAAACAGGTTTTTAAAATTCTCTGGCCATCCATGGCATAATCCAGATTCGTCACCAACCCCATTATTTAACCACATCAATTCTTCCCTTCTTTAACTGTCCAGTTTTGACATACGTAGGAGCCCTGGTGGTACCAGGGCCATATGTGGGCTCTTAACCACAGGGTGACTGGTTTTTACCCCAGAATGTGAGCCTCAAGGGTCACAGTCTTAGAAATTCACAGGGAAGTTCTACCTTGTCTTAGGGTTGCTGACAGTTGGCATCAATTCAATGACAGTGACCTTTTATTTCTTTTCTTTTTTCTATTAACATTTATTTGAGCACTTGAAAATATCATGGCTGGGTTTGGGTGCATCTTATTCCCCTAAGTGATTTCTTTGCTTTTGGATCCTTGAAAGAGGTCTCGTGCAACCGATTTACTGGATGCAATAATTTGTCTGATTTCTTGACTGCTGCTTCACTGGTGATCCACAATGATTGTTGATTATAGATCCAAGTAAAATGAAACATTTAACCACTTCAACTTTACTGTTTATCTGATGTTGCTTATTGGTCCAGTTGGGGGAATATTTTTTCTCTACACTGAGGTGTCGCCCATACAAAGGCTACAGTATTTGTATTTTATCAATTAGTAGTTGTAAGTTTTCTTTGATCTTAGCAAACAAGATTGTGTTGTTTTAATACAGAGCTTGTTAATAGCCCTTTATCCAATATTTATATGCATCCTTCTTCATTTGGTCCAGATTTTAAAAAATTATTTGTTCAACCAACAAATTGAGTAAGTATGGTGAAAGGATACTACTTTCTTAATTTGAAAGCAAACAGGACTCCTTCATTCTGTTTTGCAGCTGCGTGTACTCTACATGTAGGTTTCTTATGATCACAACTAGACGATCCAGGATTCCCATGCTCTTCAATGTTACCACTGTGTGTTATGATCTACACGGTCAAATGGCTTTGCATAGTCAACAAAACACAAGAGACATTTTTCTGGTGTTCTCTGCTTTCAGTCAAGGTCCAGCTAACATAAGTAGGGTCATCCCTCATTCCACAACCCCTTCTGAACTTGGCTTGAAACTATGTTCCCATCAGAGTCAATATAAGTTCAGTCAATATGTCAGTACCAACACACGGATTTGAACAGTTTCTAAAGAATTGTTGGAGACTAACATATTTTACAAATTCTACATGTTGATAAAGATCAACTCTCAAAATATGAATCGAGCTGCCATTTAATTTAAAAATATGATTTTTGATTTAGAGCAGCTTGTAAGTTTTACATTCAATAAATTATACACACTTGGTTCATTCATCCATTTCAATCACCTCAATGAGCCATTGCTTATTCCTCTTCCTCTCAGTGTTTCCTCTTTCCTTTCCTTCTTCAACCCTAACCCTATGTCCTTAAGGAAATGCTTCATTTCTCATTTAGATAATTGAGTATTCTAAAAAGGTTGTAAGTTCAGTTCCAGACCTAAAGGGTAATTCAAGGCCATAATCTTGTGGGATCCCAGCAGTCTGTAGCTGACCAAAAAAACCTGATGTTTTTTATGATTTTGAGTTTTGTTCCATATTTTTCTCCTATTCTATCCATGACCTTCTAATGTGATCCTTCTCAGATAAGTTATTTTATAATATTCTGCTTATGTGGTTTTCATATCAGACATGATTTTTT